ATCTGTATTCAACTGTATTACAGTGTATTCCTCCAAAGTCAATTGAATTAAACTGTATTATTAACCTATATTTAACTATATTCAACATGTTGTATTCATCTGCATTAAGGAATTGATATAGTTGTATTCAACTATACTAAGATACTCTCACAGCCACTTCATATATATTTATATATATAAAAATACTTCAACTAAATAAATTCAGAAAATATTAACGAAAGTCATTCCACGATATATTACTTCGAAAAAAGTATTTATTATAGCTGATAATGTCATAATAAGTGTTGAGAAATTGTCGAATCACCAATACATGTCAGAATATAACTATTTATTACGTGGAGCATTCCTACAAGTTCGCTTGTTATGTCCTCCCTGCCCACATATGCTACATGAATGTTGATTTTTCGGCAACAACAATTCACTTAAATTTTTGTCGCGCTTCTTCTTTGGCCTTCCAGGAGGTCTTTTCCATTTGGGTGGTAGTACAACCTCCTTTGCAACATGCTCTGGTATATTCCAGTCATTTTTGTCCGGTAGCGGGGATACTAGCACATCGTATGTCATTACAATTGTACTTGGCTTGTAATAGCTAGAGCAATATTCTTCAGGCATTAAAAACTTGCTCTTCAATACAGCCCAGGCATGTGGGCATGGCAATTCATCAATTTGGAACCTCCCAGAAACACATTTTCTCTCGAGCAGGCAGACTGTGTAATTCCTCCCACCATCGTTAACAGTATGTAAGTATTCAGTTGAGGGTACCACCTACATTTAAAAACAGAAATATAAGTTTTGAACACATTTACATGAATTAACAAATATATACTACTGAGTTAAATGGTTACTATCAACTTCGAAAATTGCAACTTCATCCAATTTCAGTTAAATTCAGCTGATTCCAGCAACTGTATTCAACTGTATTACTGTGTATTGATATACAGTCTGCATTTGTATGCATTTGTATTCAACCTTTTTTGAGCAACTGTATTCAGGTATTTCCAATCAATTTAAACTGTATCAATCACCTGAATTCCATTGTAATCATTATCACGTGCATATATTCTTAATAATCACATGTATTTACCTGTATTCATCTATATTATTTACTAGTTCAAGCAAATATTCATAAAAATTAATGGGTAGTTCT